TGATTCTGACAGTTTTTGCCAAGTTTTTGGTGTTTCTTGGGAGAAATGGCACAAGTCCTTCCTGTGCCATTTTTATTGATGTCCTCATCGAATAAATTAGGAAATACTCTCCCCTCTTTAATTTTCTGGAAGACTTGCGTAAACTTGGCATTATTTATTTCTTAAATGTTTGGTAGAGTTCATTCAGAAAGCCATCCAGGCCTGGAGTTTTCTTGGTGGGAGAGTTTCAAACTACAAATTTAATTTCTCTAGTAGATATAGGAAATATTCAAGTCATCTATTTTTTTCTTGAGTGAGCTTTGACAGTTTGTGTCTTTGAGGGGATTTGTCTGTTTTATCTAAATTTCATTTACATTATCACATCTATTCTCAGTATTTATTTGAAGACCTCAATATTTGTTTGAAGATCTGACTTCCTATTGGTGACTTAATCTTCCTGTTTAATACTATCTATTTTGTCAATCTTTTCTTACCTACTTTCCCCCTTATTTTGGGGTAGTCATCATTGCTTTACTCTATTTCTGGAACAATTTTATCTGACCAAATCATTATTTTTAGGACCCTCAGAGTACTTTTATAGTCAGCCTCTTGAATTCTCAATTATTTTTCCGAGCTTTCCTTTGTATTAGTAAATTTACTTGTGTTCGTGACTTACCAACCATTATTTTAACTTTGTTTGGAACTTGTAATGTATTTTCTTTTAAAAATTGCAAATTTTATGATAGAACCCATTTATCTGCTAAGAACTTGTCTGTATTCTAATAGCATAACTTAGAGTCAGTCAGCATAGGGGAACATATAAGTCATGGAGCTATGCTGCCTGGGCTTTGATTTTAGCTTTCCCACTTATGAGCCATGTATCCTAACTTTACCTCTGGGCCTCACTTCCTGCATCTGAAAAATAGGAATGATAATAGTACTTAATTCATTTAAGAATTAAAACAGAATCTAGTACAAAGTAAGAACCCATCAACTGTTTACTATTATTATTCATCAACAATGATTCTGTCTTAAAATGAAAACTTCTTAGACTTAGGACTTCTGTTTACCTGATTTTATTCATGATCCAGTACAGTGCCTTTTTTTTTTTCTGTCTCCCTTTTATTTTTTTAAAGATTTTCATCAAATTATTTCCCAACTGTATGAAGAAAAGTAACAAATTTATCTACATTCAATGTCTCTGTTTCCTCAAAATATAGAAAACAGTCAATATAACATTTCTAGTTACTTGGATTTTGGTGTTTCTGAGCTCTTCTGGGCCAACAAGCAGTTGTTGAATGGTACTCTGTAGGATAGATAATGCTTTGTTTTTGAAAAGGAAAGTGTTTCTTTACTTTTGTGTGGAAGGGTGTACAAATCTTTGCTTTAGAAAGATTTCAGTGTATGTACTTCACAGTGTTGTACTTCACATTTAGTATTAAAAACTTGAATGAAGCTGTACATTTGTGAATGTTTGAATAAAAAAGTAATAGAGTTTCTTTGGAAGAATATTCAAGATACGGGTAATATTGGTTGTCCGTAGAGAGGGAAGATGGGTGGTTGGTGGATAGGAGGGAGATTGTAATTCCCTTTTTGACCTTTTGAATTTAGTGACACATACATATATTACCTATTCAAAAAAAGTCATTTAATTAAATATTTTTCGTGAGTGTAGTAGAAATTCAAACACAGAGTGTAAACAAAAAAGTTATTTTTAGCAATACAAAGAATATGCAGTGAAAACTCTCCCACTCACTTGGACATCCAAAAACCCCTCTGGAGACACAACCATAACTGTTAAGTTCCTTCTGTAGACTTCCAAAAAATGTCTTTGCATTACAAGATTATATGTTTTTATATCATTTTCTAGCATACAAATGGGAATTACTATACCCATTTAACTTTACTGTTTTACTTGGCAATTGGGAACATATATATCTTTCTAATTCTTTTAATGCTCCATAGTTATCAATTATACCATAAATTTTTAGCCAGATCCCCATTAGAAGACATAAGTGCTTGTTTTTCCATCGCCGACACTTTGTGGTATAAAATTTTATTTATCTTTGTTAATGTGGTAGGTAAAAATGGATCTTGTTTTGATTTGCAGCTAGTAAGTAGTAGAGCCAGGCTTTGAAGCCAGGATCTTTATTGAGCTGGTCCTGTTACTACAAAGCTGAAACTAATATTCTTAACTACTACATTGTACCATCTCAACATAGTGAATAAGGTTGAGCATTTTAGTATATTTTATAAGGCATTTACATTTCTTTTTATGTGCCTTTTGTCCATATTTCTGTTATGGGTTTCCTATCATTTTTAAAATGCCTTCTTACTGGCAAGCATCATAGAAGTAACTAATTCATCCAAGAAACATCAAGAGATGCTAAAACTAGTGGGTGAAAAGTTGAATGCGGAACAGGATGTTTACAGAGATTTTAAGTACTTACACCCCAAAACAATGATTGTTTATTAAAGGGAAAATGGAACTTTATAGTGAAGAAACCTGAGAGACACCAACTCAGTCATGTGATCAAGGTTAACTTCTCTAGCAATGGGACAAATCAAAGGATGCAGTGAGAAGAACACAGCAACAAAGATGCAAACCTCAAATCTGATCGTGATGGAACTTCAGATAAATTGAGGACCATTTTAAAAAGTAACTGTCCTATAATATTAAAAAAGTTCAAGATCATGAAAGTTAAGAAAGCAAGTTTGAAGTTATTTCAAAAAAGAAAAGAAAAATTCCTTGTTTAAATTGGGACCAATTCATTTTGTCAATCCAATATTAAAATCCACTAAGGTAAATGAATAACTAGTTTTTAGACTTACAGTTATCACAAAAGGTTAGTTATAATAGATTCTCAAGTTTCTTGTCTTCAAATACAAGTCAGTTTTAAATCCATTATAGAGGGGAACGTATAGCTCAGTGGTAAAGCTTGTGCTTAGCATGCACAAAGTCCTGGGTTTAATCCCTAGTATCGCCGATAAATAAATAAATAAATAAAACCTAATCAAACCCCCCAGAACACAAAAATTACTTTTTAAAAAATCCATTATATACAGTCTTTTCTCACTATTCAAAAATTTCATGTTTGGAATTCGACTGCTTGCTGAAATGTATTTATAATCCCCAAACCAATATTCAGAACACTGCCATGGTCATTTATGGATATGTGCAGAACAATGAAAAACTTGAGTCCAGATGTGCATGTTCCCAGCTGAATATCTGAGGTGCTCTGCCTTTTTCTTTCATCTCTTATGCTGAAAACAAGTGTCTTCTTTGCTATGTATTTAGTGCCTTATTTTTTGCACTTTTGTACATTTTGTTGGTGATTTCACAGTTTAAAATGGCCCCCAAGTGTAATGGTCAACTACTGTTTAGTGTCCTAAGCATACGAAGGCTGTGATGTACCTTATGAAGAACACATGCTAGATTAGCTTCATTAGGGATGAGTATAGTGCTGTTGGCCATGAATGCAATGTTAATAAAGTGATAATACATATTTTTAAAGGTGTCTTTAAACAGAAACACAAATAAAGCAAGATTATATATTGATCAGTTGACAAAAATGTTATGGCCAAGGGCTCACAGGAACCTAACCCTGTATTTAGCAATGGTTCAGTGTTTGATATTTACAGCAACTTTATAGAATATGATTACCATAAAAAAAACAGACTCAACTGTACTTAGAAACACCAAACTTCTGCCTCAGGAAGGTGACACACTTGCCCTCAAACTCAAGATGATCAGTATCTATTCTTCAGGTTTTTCCGTATCTTGAGAAATAGGTTGATTTTTATTATTATTCCATGAGAAGATTATTAAAATTGACTGATTTGTGTACCTGTTGTTCAAATTTTATTTTTTACTTAATAGTCAGAGCCTGGAACATATTTTAAAATAGATTTCAAAACTCAGTGTGAAGTTTAGCCTTAAAAGATAGGCTCTTTGATCCATGCTCTAGCCAGAATTTGGAGATCCAGCAGTGCTACACTGAGGCAGGCAGCTCAGGAGAGCCAAGTGAGTGGGGAAGATGTTGTCAAGGGCAGGCCATGGTGCGGGTATGCAGTGAGCATATGCCGAGAAAGAACACTCACATTTCTTGTAGATCCAGGGTTCAGATTTGCTTGAACACAAATTATTAGGAAACATTCAATGTTGCCAAGATTGCTAACAAGGATTTTAAAATAGGCTTGTCAAGTAAAATACTCAGATTAAGAATTGCACAAAAATGATTTATCAGTATCTGAAATTCAAATTAAGTGGTGTCCTATATTTTTTATTTGTTAAATCTGGGAACCCTAGCCCTGCTTTTTTGAAAGTACGTGTTTAAAGGCACAAGAAGTGTCAATTGGCAGGTGAAAAGCTTGAAGCTTAATAAAAACTAATCCAAAAAAACAAGTCTGAAAAAGGATTCTCGATGACAGTCCATCAAAGTATGTGAGTTGTTTTTTTTTTATCAGGGAGTTTAAACCAAAGGGACACTGTTGTTCATTGCTGATATATATGAATACTACAAAATGGGACTGCTTTTGATACTACTATAGAAACTAGTTTAAATAAGAAGAAAATGCCAGGCCTTTAAGCGTTACAGCTGGAATGAAGCATTCTTTCTAGGAGTAGAGGAGAAAAAGTTCACTTAAAGATTGAAAACAGCCTAGTGCCAAAATTCCATCAGATTCAAAACTTATTTTTTAAGTGGAATTAGTGGCTATTGATTGAAATAACAGTGGTGTGAATCAACAATGACATAAACCTGTGGCCTTGAAGAAACATAATTACTACAACTGTTTACTCTTGTAGATAATTCTTCAAGGAGTTCAGTTAAAGTTTGCTTACATACTTGCTCCTCACCTTTTGAGAAATGTGACCTTTTTCAAGTCTCTGAAGTCTAAAATGTTTTATTATAGCTATGTAAAATATTGGTTAAATAAAATTGATTTTTCTTTTTACCTCATGTCATTAAAAAACTCAATTTTTTTGTAACATACAGTGTTTTACATGTACTTTATTACAGGCAGTGAGGTCACTGAAGGAGACAATCGAAGACTGTTGGGACCAGGATGCAGAGGCTCGGCTTACTGCACAGTGTGCTGAGGAGAGGATGGCTGAACTTATGATGATATGGGAAAGAAACAAATCTGTGAGCCCAACAGTCAATCCAATGTCTACTGCTATGCAGAATGAGCGGTAAGACCTTGAAGGTTTGACATCCCTCTGTTGGTATTTCAAACTGAGACTATCCCAAACCCCTCTCTCCCCAGTGAATATTCCGCACTCTTATTTTTTCACCCCATATAACCAGCTTGCCAAAGAAAGTCAGTGCAGCTACACACGTGAGTCTGCCTGCTCTCTCCATGGGAGTGTGCTATTGCTTAATAAACCCTCATTTTACTTTTCTGAGGGGTAGGCACAGACCAAACAGAGAACAGGAAATAAATACTATTAAACCAGTCTAACAGTGCAATGATTAATGGATACAATTTAATGTCATAATTTTTCTTTCAATGTTCCTGTTCTTTTACTGATGACTTGTTTGGTGTAAGTGCAAGAGAAAGCTGTGGTTTTTTTAAAAAATACCAAAAAATGTAGTAAAACATTAGTCTTTCTCTGTTAATGCTCCAACTACCCTGCAAGAATAAAGGTAAAACATTTTCATAGTTTCAAAAGTTTATAAGCACTTTTATGTACTGTGTTGTCTTGATTATCCTTTGTTATTATTCTTTTTCTCTTTCCTCTGCTTTCTTGGAGGGTTTGTTTGTTTGTTTGTTGTTTTTTTAAGAAATAGAATTTTGAGCTTGCCTATATATCTAACCACTGCTTCACTGAAGACTAAGGTTTCTAGGCTTCCTATCCAACACTCTTTCTTACAGAATAACCACTGCTATTTTCACATGAAGGCAATTCATAAGGTCTTTTCATCCCATTGTGAGCATTATTGTGTGAGATATTTCTTTATCAGAACTGTGATTTTTGGTTCTAAATAAAAGGGCTTTTTTAAAAATTCCTGAAACTTGGAACTTTCCAACTTTGTATTCTGTTTCTTTGTTCCATCTTTATGGGATAAAGTCTTCCCACAAATTTGTTACTTTATCTAAAACATGTTAAAAGTTTTCAGAAAGGCATCCAGGAAAAAGTAACTAGAGAAAATTGAGGAGGGGAAAAAAAACCTTGATTCTTGAATCATTTTCTTTGCTATTTTCTGTTCTAATTTCTGAGAGCAGTTTGTATTATGAACCATAGGCCCCAAATTGAGTTTGTACTACTTATGTTTATGAATCACCTTCAGCGTATAAACCCTTATTCCTATTATATCAGCAAATCAAAGAAGGTAGACTAGCAATTCTAAATGTAAATTTTCTCTTTACACATCCCTAAGGATAATCTGTTTCCATCTCCCCTTATCTCCATTATTTTCTATGTGCTCTAGTGTGCCATTTGTACCTCTCTTAAGAGTCAGCTCCTTTTACTTTTAATGCTTTTGAACTTTGCTTGACTGGTAAGAAGAAACTTTGATACCCTCCTTGTTTTGGCCATTTTTGCCTCCTGTGTCATTCAGCTCTACCCCTTACATGCTTTTCGTGTCCAGTTACTTCTAAATGTATAGCTCATCCTGTAGTCATTTCACGCTAGGTTTCATTGTATTGAGTCTTACTCTCCATCCCTCCTTAACTTCCTTTTCTTGTGCAGAGCAAAAGCTTTTTTCTTCTTTCCCTTCCTGTCAGTCCCCTCATAACTTCCAGATTTTTTTTATAGCACCTCTCCGTTAGTTGCTGCTTTTTTCCTGTAACACTTACCTATTAATGTTCCCAATGTTTATACTTGATTGTTTGTTAAAATTACCCCTCACTTTTTATTTTACTTTTTTTCTAGCTTTATTGAGATATAATTGACATACAGCATACAGATATAACTGACATTCAGCATAATGATTTGACTTACATACGTCATGAAATGTTTGTCACATAAGTTGAGTGAATACCCATCATCTCATATAGATACAAAATTAAGGAAATAGGGAAAAAAAACATTTTTTTCCCTTGTCATGAGAACTCTTAGGATTTACTCTCAACAGCTTTTATATATAATATACAGCAGCAGTGTTCATTATGTTTATCATGTACAATACATTCTTAGTACTTATTTATCTTATAACAGGAAGTTTGTACCATTTGACTGCCTTCATCCAGTTCTTCCTGCCCTCACCCTCTGTCTCTAGTAACCACAAATCTAATCCCTTTTTCTATGAGTTTGCTTCTTTTTGAAGTGTAATTGACCGGTAGCACTATGTTAGTTCCTGTTATAAAGCATAATGATGTGGTATTTCTATACAGCTCAAAAATGATCACCAAACTAAGTCTAGTTACCGTATGTCACCATGCAAAGATATGTAGTTACTTACTATATTCCCCACACTGTACATTTCATACCCGTGGCTCATTTACTTTGCAACTGGAATTTTATGCCTATTAATCTGCCTCACTTATTTCTTTCCTTCCTCTAACCCCCTTTTCTTGGCAACCACCTGTTCTCTGTATCTGTAATCCTGTTTCTGTTTAGTTTTGTTTGTTCATTTGCTTTGTTTCTTAGATTCCACATATAAGTGAAGTCATACAGTATTTATCTTTCTCTGTCTGACTTATTTCACTTAGCATAATACCCTCTAGGTCCATACTGTTGTCACAAATGGCAGTATTTCATTCTTTTTTTATGGCTAAGAAGTATTCCATTGTACATACATACCACACCTTCTTTATCTGTTCATCTATCATTGGGCACTTGGGCTGCTTCCATATCTTGGCTTGGCTTTTATTTTTAAAATATGAAGGTATTACAGTGTGATGCTTATGAACTGCCACTTTCAAGGTGTGACAATGATATTGAAGAGCTTTTGATAACTGCAGAGCAGTTCTAAATCTTTGATTTTCGTTATCTGAGGGTCGTTCTGCCTTGTACCATAGGCTCTGGGACTTTCGTTGATATGGCTCGGCCTGAGGACGATATGTTTCATTGCTAGACTGTGCCTTTTACTGGAGCAGTTTGGAACAACCTAAAATTTTATGTTCTTTTTGCCATTTGGAACTTAACTGGTAACATATTTGTTGAGTAGCTACTATGTATCTAGAATTATGGGTGTAGAAACTTGAATTATGGGTCTTGAAACTTTATGTCTGATTATGCAAATATACAATTCACAAAGATATAATTGGTAATGTTGTAAAACTATAGGGGAAATTTTTTAAATTAATAACTCTTGTAAACCAAAATAATGAACATCTATAAAAATCATATCTAGATCCACATAGATTTTTTGGTAGGCTTTATGATTTAACCTTTAGCAAGTTATTGACACTTGATTATTTGATTAGAACTTTTAAATAACCTCTAGAGTAATGTAGGTTAAGAATAAAAAAGCAGTTCATACTTTAAAATCAGGGGTGTTAAACTTGGAGAGTCAGTTTGTCATAAATGTACATTCTCACTGTGGCACTTTTTTTCTTTAAGCAACCTGTCACATAATAGGCGTGTGCCAAAGATTGGCCCTTATCCAGATTATTCTTCTTCCTCATACATTGAAGACTCTATCCATCATACTGATAGCATCGTGAAGAATATTTCCTCCGAGCACTCGATGTCCAGTACACCTTTGACTATAGGGGAAAAGAACCGAAATTCAATTAACTATGAACGGCAACAAGCACAAGCTCGCATCCCTAGCCCTGAAACAAGTGTCACCAGCCTGTCCACCAACACAACAACCACAAATACCACTGGCCTCACTCCGAGCACTGGCATGACCACTATCTCTGAGATGCCATACCCAGATGAAACAAATCTGCATGCCACAAATGTTTCACAGCCAGTCGGGCCAACCCCTGTCTGCTTACAACTGACAGAAGAAGACTTGGAGACCAACAAGCTGGACCCAAAAGAAGTTGATAAAAACCTCAAGGAAAGTTCTGATGAGAATCTCATGGAGCATTCTCTTAAACAGTTCAGTGGGCCAGACCCACTGAGCAGTACCAGTTCCAGCTTGCTCTACCCGCTCATAAAGCTTGCAGTAGAAGTGACTGGACAGCAGGACTTCACACAAGCTGCCAATGGCCAAGCATGTTTAATTCCTGATGTCCCACCCGCTCAGATCTATCCTCTCCCCAAGCAACAGAACCTTCCTAAGAGACCTACTAGTTTGCCTTTAAACACCAAAAATTCAACAAAGGAACCCCGGCTGAAATTTGGCAGCAAGCACAAATCAAACTTGAAACAAGTAGAAACTGGAGTTGCCAAGATGAATACAATCAATGCTGCAGAACCTCATGTGGTAACGGTCACCATGAATGGTGTGGCAGGTAGGAACCACAGCGTTAACTCCCATGCTGCCACTACCCAGTATGCCAATGGAGTAGTACCATCTGGCCAGACAGCCAACACAGTGACACATAGAGCCCAAGAAATGCTGCAGAATCAATTCATTGGTGAGGACACCCGGCTGAATATTAATTCCAGTCCCGATGAGCATGAGCCTTTACTGAGACGAGAGCAGCAAGCTGGCCATGATGAAGGTGTTCTGGATCGTCTTGTGGACAGGAGGGAACGGCCACTGGAAGGCGGCCGAACTAATTCCAATAACAACAACAGCAATCCATTTTCAGAGCAAGAAGTTCTTACACAGGGTGTTCCAAGCACAGTAGCAGAGCCTGGACCATCAAAGCCCAGAAGAGCACAGAGGCCTAATTCTCTGGATCTGTCAGCCACAAATGTCCTTGATGGCAGCAGTTTGCAGTGTAAGTGGAGGGACTGTGTGATCTCTCCTTGTCTTTTGGGATCATTTAAATAACTACTTAGCTAGAATCAGATTGTGTTTCAACTAGCAATTATTTACTTTTACCACTTTCGGAAATAAAATAAGCCGTTTCGTTGGACTTCAAAAGTAATTAGAGTGTTGTAAAGAAAAAAGTAGGGGGTTTTATGGTTGTTATTGATAATTAAAAAGTCAGTGTCACAATAAGCAGAATAATTACCAATTTAGTATTTGCCTTATGTAGAGCTGCTGGTTTATAATGCAATTCACATACTTGCTATGACTAGTTGAGATTAAGTACTCACCAGTCTAAAAGCTTCAAGTAAAATAATGTTAGT